GTTTTGTAGACGACTTACTAATATTTTCCAAGGGGAATGTGGAGAGTGTCAAAGTAGTGGTGGAGATACTGAACCATTTCTATAGGATCTCTGGACTAAATTGTAGCCCAAGCAAAAGTGAGCTTTTTAGTGCAGGTGTTACGGTTGAGCTTAGCAAAAGAGTTGGCACAACAATCTGGGTTTAAGGAAGGAAAATTACCTATTCGTTACTTGGGCTTGCCTCTAGTGGCACGGATAATCAGCTTTGCCGATTGTAAGAACCTCATCAATAGAATTACGCAAAGATTCTAGGACTGGCAGCCTCTCACACTCACCTATGCTGGGAAACTCCAGCTAGCTACTGCTGTGTTAGCAAGCTTGACTCACTTCTGGATGATTGTAATTCAGCTGCCAAAGAAAGTTATAAGGGAGGTAGAACAACTGTGTTCAAAGTTCTTATTGGAAAATATTGAGCAAGAGAAAAAAGCAAAGGTTTTAATGGAAACATGTAGCTCTTACAAGACATGAAGGGGGATTGGGGTTTAAGGATATACATACATGGAATAAGGCTTGTTTAATTCGGCACTTGTGGGCAGTAGTTTCTGATCAACAGACTGCTTGGATAAAAGAGTATTGACTCAGGAACATTAGCATATGAGAAGTTAGTACAAAGGGGTCGTGGATATGGAACAAGATCTTGAAGCTTAGGCCTACAGTGAGAAATCAGTTAAGAAGGACAAGACAGGGGTAGAGTGGTAGGGCAAGCTGATGGATAAATAGCATATATCGGATTTGGAAGAGTATACGGTCAAGGGAACAAGAAGTTACCTAGGATTCTTTGATCTGGCACTCAAGTATGATTCCCTAATATTTTTCATAGTTTGGCTTGTTATGCTTGACAGGATTACTACGTTATCAAATGTTAAGAGAGATGGAATCCCAATGTCTGTGTTCTCTGTTCTTTGTGTTCATCTAAAGAGGAGACGAGAGAACACTTGTTCTTCTACTGTGATTATGTGAAACAGATTTGGAATGTAGTTTGGGAGGCCTGGCCTATTCGGTTTTGTGAGTATTAGGTTACATGGGTAGAAGAAGCTGTGAAACGAGTGCAACACTGCTATGTGGGGAGTTTCCTCTAGTGTTTGATGGTTAGTGAGGTGTGGCATGAGAGATGTAGGATGTTGTTTGGACGAAAGCGGTTGAGCTGCATGGAGCTAGTGGCACAGATGCAAAAGGTTTTGCATGCAAAGCTGGATGGCGATGGGAAATTTGCTCTTGCAGCTGGATCCTGTAGGCTATGGTTCTATTGAAAAGAAGACACTTTATTGATTGTTTTAGTTGTAATAGGTTGCACTGATATCTAGACTTGTCTTGTTTGGTTGATGATGTAACAGGTTGTAACAAATTGTACAGAAACTGTAACAGATTGTATTTTGATGAAATAAAGCCTAACCATTCATAAAAAAATATATATGTAATAAATTATGGTCTAATAATTAAATTAACCATTAGTTACAATGATAATTTGTTATAGAAAAAATTTCTAAATTTGTATGCTTCTACATTTATTGTACATGGTTAGAGTATATGGTATATGATGTAGAGTATAGGATATATGGTTAGGGTATAAAAAATATCTCTTTTTGTCTATGTGTTGAAAATCAAAGTATGAATTTCACTTTAAATAACTATACTAGGAAAATCACAACTCATAAATATATATGGTTTGGGACATTAATCTGTTGCTACAGTTCTTTTGGGAAAGGAACTTTGAGAGTTCCATGTTTATTTTCTTTATTTTGTTCCTTTTGGACAAGTAGAACGGCCCATTTAACTTTGTCTTTGTTTTCGGTTTTCGTTCTACCTTTATGTTTTGTTTTCGTTATCTTTGTGTTGTTTCTTTGAGATCAATCATTGTGATCTCTTTCATATGTACAATTCTCTTTCGTTTCGTAATAATATTTTATTGCCATTATAAAAAAAATATATAGTTTGGGTATAGAGTATGTGCTTAGTGTATAATGTATTGATGGTTTAGGGTATATGATCAACAACATATACCAATTTAATTTGTAGATTGAGGGTAAGGTTAAGGGTACAGGATATATGTTATTGAGTAAGTTACGATTGAAGTCACAACAATTTAACTAAATTTGATAATCTTTAATGGTTCAATTTTTAGGGTAATTCGAACAATTCTACAAATAACTCGTTTGGCAACAGTTTACTGAAGGTATTTGGGCAATGAGTTGTTTCGAAATAACTCCTTTTACAACTTTGCTTTCGCCAAATGCCACACACCAAATACCATATTTGCATGGTTATAATAAATGAGATACTTTAATACAATTACTACTGAGATAATACTAAAATACCAAATAAACAACCGAGTTTACCGTTAGTCAAAGTCCACCTCACTTGCCACATCAACTATCAGGAAATAAAAAAATATTTTTTTATTGAATTATTGAATTTTGTTTAATTTCTAAAATTAATTAAAAATAATCTGGAGAGCTCTTTTAATTAACTTTTTACTTATTATTTTAATTGTTAGAAAATAAACAAAATTCAAAAAATTCAAAATTAAAAAATTAATTTTTTATTCCCCGATAGCTGACGTGGCAAGTGAGGTGGACCTTGACTAACGGTCAACTCAATTGACCGTCTAATTTAACTGTCAAACCCTCCTCCGGGCCAAATAAGAAAGTATGCTACATAGTTTAGGCCAGGTTAGCAATTTCCGATACCACGGGTCAATGTAGAAAGTTTGTCTATAATTTGGCCTAAATTAAGGTATTAACCCTTACTATTAACTAGTGTACTTTACCAATTACGATTAATTACATAACAAGTTTGCAAGTTGATAATCGGCTAATCGGCTTTAACATATTGAATTTTTGGACTTTATGTGATTATCTATGATATGTTTAAGCCGATTGGTGCTAATTTAGGGCTCGCTAACCCGGAGATGGTTGAAAACCCATTATTGCCTAGTCCATGAGTTTGATATGTTACAGGTGGAGAAAGTACGAAAAAGAAGCGAGTGCGCAACAAGTAATCGGGCCAAAGCCCAAATTGATGGGACTTTAAATTAGCAGCTCGGCAAAGTCTCTGGGCTTGGAATTAATTGAGGCTTTTTGGTTGTGCTGAGAGGGAATTGGAGCGGCCAAGAGGGGGAATAAAATTTGGGCCACGAAATTAATTGATGAAGGGGAATCTTTTGGGGTTTTTTGGCGGATCCCTTAATTGGAAGAGGCGGAAATCTGAGGAAGTGAATAAAAGAGGCGGCTCTATTAAGTGTGGGCGGACGATAATTCTTGGTGGAAGGAGATTTTCTTGGAAGAGGAGAAAGAAAGCGCAAGGCAGCAGAGCAAAAGGCGATCAGTCGATTTCCATCGGCGATTGAGTTTTTTCAAGGTTTGAGCTGAGTTCAACGAGAGCGATTAGTTGGTTGGATTTTCTGAACCAAATTAGTTGTTATTTGTTGATTTAGAACATGATGAACAAAACCCTATCGATTTATCTTAAGTTCATCATGAACTAAACCCCAATTTCTGGGGAAAACACCATAGGATGTAGCTATTTCTTGATTTGATGGATTGATTTATGATTCTTTTCTTCCAATCTCTATTGCATGAAATTACTTAATGCTTTGTGTTGACTGGCCACCAATACAACGATTTGTAGTTAATTAGGTTATTAGCGACAGTGAAACCCTAATAACTGAACCTATTTCATGTGACATAGTAACTTATCGAAGCGACAGTGGATTAAATAAGGTGCTATGCGGTCTTAAATAGGATATCGGTCTTTAGACTAAATAATTAACTCATTGAGCTACGACAGTAGGATTTGAATTAATTGCTTAGTACGTAGTAATTCCCGACAGGGATAGCTAGCACAGTAGTGATATCCTGGCTGTAGAGATATGGATTAAATTGATTGGAATATGTGAATTAATCTGGATAGGAAAGGTAGTAAATCCCGGTGTTTCTCCCAGAGCTTTCTCCCATTGAATTAAACCCGACATTTTAATTTGCTTAATTACTTTAGTTATTTTGCTCTTAGTTAATAATCTCATCAACCAAACCATTTTCACTTATAGTTTGCTCCATAGAATTGATAGAAATTAAGGTTGTACCAGTCCCTGAGAGACGATACCCGGACTTTCCGGTTTTACTACAAGATAGGAATTGAAGCTATACGCTTTTGCCCTATCACAAGTTATACAAATTGATTCAACATTTTGACTAGTTTTTTTTTTACATTTCAGTATATATACGAGGTAGAAAGAAATTGGTTAAATATTGAGGAAAATATTTTGAATTAGTGTAATAAAATGTGCAGGTTGGTAACGAGTAAGAAGTAAGTTACTTGACGCGCTGACCTGAACAACTCGCTACCTGATCCGCCCGCAACCCGCCCGACCCAAAACCAGATCAACCTGCAACCCGATTGAACTCGAACTCGATGAACCCGCAACCCGACTAACCAGCAACCAATTTGAATCCGAACTCGATGAACCCAAAACCGACTAACCCACAACCCGATGGACCCAAAACCCAACTAACACACAACCCGATTGAACCCGCCCAATTGACACCTATATATACAAGTAGTCACAAAGCTTTATATTACGATAAATTTCTGGTGACTAAAATTATTAATAATGGGAAACTTGCTTTTAAACACAAAATTTCCCGTGATTAAATAATATTTTTCCTGTAGTGAAGACCTATCAATCTTGACCAGTTTAGAGGACCTAATTAAGAGAGACGAGGCGACTACTTTTTTTTTTTTTTTTTTTTGTGTGTTCGGCAGCTTCCTGGTATGTGGAGGAAAGATGCATATGTGTGTTTGGTGAGCCATGGAGACCTATTGAGCAATTGTTTGGTGAGCCACGGTTTTGCCGGTTGGCTTTACGTAGATTAGGATATTCGAGTTGTTGTTTAGCTAAAATGGCAATGTTGTTGGATGATATCTTCTTTGGACGAAATATACTAAAACTATTGATTAATAAGAATAACAAAAGCCAATTATTAGGAAAATATGAAAACGAAGATTGTATGCAATTTGAAGAGTTCAAACTAGCTGTCGAAGATCGGACGACGGAAATTAAAAAGAATGAAAAAAAAAACTGGATTTTTCTTGATTGCAATGAGTGGAAGCAACAAAGTAACTTCTATAGCTAGATATAGCATGACATAGATAACTGGAAAACGTTGACATTTTTCTCGCAAAATGAAAGTAAAGTGCGAAAGTAGAATAAAGCGAAATTTTTTTTTATTCAGTAGCTTGGTAAGACAGTTTTATTCATTAGCCTTGAACTTCCATATGGATGGATTGGGAATAATAAGCCTTGGACTTTGACGACGTAATGCAGAAACTTAGGAGTCGTCTGGCGGTGGCGCAGGGTGCTTTTTCTTGGTTGGAGGTGGTGGGCTGTCGTCACCGCCGCTGCCGCCGCCACAGTTGCCGAATTGTGGTTGACATCCACGGCCACAATATCTGTCATCATCACCACAGTAACCGTACTTGCTACAGCAAAGGTTATCTTCGCACGATCCGCTTTCGCCGCCGCAGCTGCCCTCATCATCGACGGCATGCTCGATCCTCGCAGTGTCATTGAAACTGAATGGAGAACCGCGAAACGTGAAAGAGGTGGCGGACTCGCCAAATTTGCGAGCATTTGCTCTGGCTGCATAGCTCGTCGCCAATAATATTGTCACCATTAGCAACGAGAGAGCCGATGCCGTTGGCTGATGCATTTTTTCTTAGCGTGATTATTGGGGTTTGAACTGTTTGAGTTATGGCAATAACGGGAGAGCATGACATGTATATATATACATGCACGTGGTTCAAAGAAGAGGGCAACTCGGCATTAGGGTTTTATTCTTTCCATGGCCGCCCCAGACTCTTCCAGCTGTCGGTATTATTGTTATTATTATTATCTTTTTGTTAGCGACAATCCAAATCAGTCATCATCAAATTCTTTGTTAACAGTGTTTCATTGGCATGAGCCGAACTATCCATATCCGCCGCTGAAACATAAAAAAACAAACAATAGAAATGCTTCTTTGCATGTCTTTCGGACTCCCACGACTCAATGGCAATTGTCGCCAAGCATTCTCCAGGACCGTTACGTACGTTAATTGAAATCTTTGATTTGGACAATGGAATCATCGATCGTCTTCTCACTTGTAATGGTTTATCTCAAATTCTATCCAAATCCTTTCCCTTGTTTTCTTTCGCTTTCTCTATATGCATATGCTAGTTTTAGGACCTAACACGATATATTGACTCGAGTCCTTATTAAAAGTATAAAAAAATATAATGCAAGGAAATAGACCGCTAAATTTTTGTCACACTATTTTCTTCTCGATGTCAATTATTATTGTGATGCTTTTGTCTTCCTTAATAATTATTTTTCTTCACAATAGTTTGTGTCAAGCTCCATGAGCAGAGGAGAAGAAAAGGAAGAAGATGAAGAAGACGAAGAAGAGTCCAGTAACAAGCAACGGTCGACTGAGCAAGGAGGGAAAGGTCGAAGACAAAAAGGGGAAAGAGTTGATGAATGCAAACGATGACGTTTAGTACATACATGTATATAATAGTTTATTTATTCTTTCATTAGCTGTAACTAGTTGTAGGACGCCACTTGTCTCATTTTAATTGGGCAAGTTGGTTATAGTTAGTTTGTCCTGTAGCATTGCCTACTCTGTACATAACCTGCCGCAAGGCTGCAATGGAAAGCAGAAAGCATTCCACACAAATCACTCTTTCATCAATTATTCTCGTGGTATCAGAGCTTCTGGCTTACCTCACCTAGGGTTTCGTGACCTCTCGAAAGCATAACAATGGCGGCTACTCAGGACGAAGCAACTGGAGAGACAACCAGAGTCATCACAGGAGCACAAAATCCTGTCACTCAGCAACAACGACAAGCTGTGGATCCCTACTACGTTAATCCGAATGAAAACCTGTCTCAAGGTATTATTTCTATCAAACTCAACGGAACCAATTATCATGTATGGAGTAGATCAATGCGAATAGCACTCAAGACCAAGAAGAAGCTTGGGTTTGTTAATGGCACCTTACCTATGCCTGAACCAACAGATCCAGATTATGAAATCTGGGATCAGAGTAACACCAACGTAATGGGTTGGATTTTGAGTTCATTGATTGATCCCATAGCTGAGGCTGTGATGGATAATGAGACTACTCAGGACTTATGGAAAGATCTGCAAGAAAGATATGGAGAAGCAGATTCAGTTAGACTAGCTCATGTTAAAGGGCTAATTGCATCTTGCAAACAGGAGAAGAGTACCGTGACTGAGTACTATAACAGACTTGGTGTGTTCTGGACAGAATATATGTCATTCAAGTCCATTCCACCATGTGAATGTGGTGATGCACCTCATACCATGAACTGTGTGACATATGCTGCTGTCAAGGAATCTCATGAGCAAGATCACACTATCGACTTCATCATGGGCCTGAGTGATGCTTTTGAAATGACCAAGAACCAGCTTCTGATGATGGATCCAGCTCCAAGCCTCAAGGTGGCATACAAGTATGCACTCAAATTGGAAAGAAAAATGACAAAACAACCACCCAAAGAAGCAGTAGGAGTGGATTCAGTAGCATTGGCAGCTGCAAATCAAGGAAGAAATAGAGACCAAAAAGCTGAGTATCCAAGAGGTGGAAGGCAGAACACCTACCAAGGGAACTACCCTAACAATCAACAAAGAGGAACCAATGAAACAAGTGGAGGTGGCCAACAAAACTTATTTTGTAACTACTGTAAAAGGACTAACCATGTCATTGCAGGCTGTTGGAGACTCAAAAGAAAAAGAGGAGAGTTGGCAGGACCAAACTTTGCGGGAGCAGCCACATCAGGTGGTAGTCATGATCAGGGAATCAATAGCTTCTCAGCTGCAAATGAACAAGACAACAGAAGTCAGAACACTACCACACTTCAGCTGACAGCTGAAGATTGCAGCAGACTGATGATGCTGTTATAGCAACAAAACACTGGAGGACAAGCAACAAATCAACCAAACATTCAACCTCAAGCCCACTCAGTTTCAAGACACATTAATCAGATGCCAGACAATGCAGGTAAATTCATCCTATATACTTTTACTGCCTGTCAACAGAAGGAGTTGTTGAATAGTTGGATTATTGATACTGGTGCATCTGATCACATGTGCTGTAGCCTTACCTCTTTCACCAGCCACTACCCGGTAGAAAATGTTTTTGTTACCTTACCAACCAGTGCTAGGATCAAGGTAGCACACATTGGAACAGTTAGAATCAATGATAACCTGACCCTAAACAATGTCCTACATGTCCCTAGTTTCACTTTCAATCTCATTTCTGTCAGTTCCCTAACCAAAACTCTACTTATTACCCTAAGCTTTCAATCTGACTTCTGTGTTGTTCAGGACCTTCATACACAGAAGAGGATTGGTTTTGCAAAAGAGCTTAGAGGACTATATCACCTACACTCAGCCATTCACAACCTTGAACCAGCCATCAACTTAGTAGCAGCAGTGAGCAACTCTGAGAATCAAGACATGCACTTGTGGCATGCTAGATTAGGGCATCTTTCCAATTCCAGAACCAAGTTACTTCAAAAATGTAATCCTGAATTGCCAGTGAACCTTGTTGATCAATGTGAGACATGTCATTTAGCTAGACAAAAGAAGCTACATTTCTCTTCTAGTTCTCATACTAGCAAAGAACCTTTTGAGATCATATATTGTGACATCTGGGGCCCTTTAAACACTACTTCCTATGATGGTTTTTCCTACTTTTTGACCATTGTAGATGACTTCTCTAGAGCAGTTTGGACTTACCTCATGAAAACTAAATCAGAGGCAAGACCTCTCTTGCAACAATTCTGCACAATGGTGCACAAACAGTTTGATAAACCATTCAAAACCATTCGTTCGGGCCAAGGGAAAGAATTCCTCATGGCAGATTTCTTTAAAGAACATGGAATCACTCACCAAATGTCCTTTGTAGAAAGACAACAACAAAATGGAAGAGTAGAAAGGAAACATCAGGACATTTTGAACATAGCAAGAGCCTTAAGATTTCAATCTAATGTGCCCTTGTCTTTCTGGAGTGATTGCATACTCTATGCAGTTCATATCCTAAACAGACTTCCCACACCTACCCTCAACAACAAAACTCCTTTTGAGAAGCTCTATAACAAACCACCAGATTACACACCACTTCGAGTCTTTGGCTCACTATGCTATGCTTCCACCATAGAATCAGGAAGGACTAAATTTCAACCAAGAGCTAGAAAAGGGATATTCCTTGGCATACTGCCAGGAATCAAAGGATACAAAATATATGATCTCTCAACTAAGCAAGTTTTTGCTTCCAGAGATGTATCATTCCATGAATCTATCTTTCCTTTTGCATCCACTATTCCTCCTAACACTTCTAAACCTTCATCAGCCAACACCATTCCTCCTCCTGTCCCTTCATTCTTCTCACCTCAGCCTTTTTCCAAAAACCCAGCACATGATCATTTGCATTCAGGTCTTGATTCAGCTGTTCACACAGCTCCTAATAATGCACATTCACCAGATTTCATTAATTTTGAAATCATGGATGAAAACCATGCTGAGATTCAGAATGAAGAGGAAGCAGAAGGAGAAGGGGGGATAGACACAGTAACTCTATCGCCTCAAGCACCTATTTCCTCAAGAAAACCATCTACTCCCTTGAGGAAATTTGGCAGGACAAGTAAACCACCGTTATGGCATCAGGATTATTTTGTTCGAAACTCTCAAACCAAGTATCCAATTTCATCCTTCATGGACTACAATCAACTCAGTCAGGAATACAAACATTACTCACTTGCAGTAGCTAATCTACATGATCCATAGACCTTTGATGAAGCCATGATGGAAGAATGTTGGAGAGAAGCAGTGAAGGAAGAATTGAGGGCACTGATAGCCAATCACACATGGGACATAGTAGATTGTCCAGTTGGAAAGAAACTAATTGGTAACAAGTGGATTTTCAAGACTAAGCTACTGGCAGATGGTGCAATTGAAAGGTATAAGGCAAGACTCGTGGCACAAGGGTTCACTCAAATACCAGGATTGGATTTCCTGGACACCTTCTCACCAGTAGCAAAGATCAACACCATCAAAATCCTCATGGCAGTGGCAGCTATCAAGAATTGGCACTTAAGCTAGATGGATATCAGCAATGCTTTTCTAAATGGAGACTTAGAGGAAGAAGTTTACATGAAAATACCATTGGGAATCGAAGGAATGGAAGGGAAAGCTTGCAGGCTAAGAAAATCCCTTTATTGGTTGAAACAAGCAAGCAGACAGTGGTATGCCAAGCTAACAGAAGCACTAGTAAGCTTTGGTTATACTCAATCCTATTCAGACTATTCACTTTTCACAAAGAAGAATGATAAAGGAATTGCTGTTATCCTAGTATATGTAGATGATCTGATTCTCTCTGGAGACAATGAAGAACTCATTCAGGAATCCAAAGACTTTCTATCTAAGCAGTTCAAAGTAAGAGACCTCGGGAAGTTGAAATACTTCCTTGGATAGAAAGTGGCTAGAAGCAGTTCTGGGATTGCTGTGACTCAAAGAAAATACTGCCTAGATCTACTTAAAGATACAGGGTTTCTTAATGGGAAACTGTGCAGAACTCCATCAGACATGAAGACTAGACTAACACAGTTTAGTGATGAACCACAAGCAGATCCACACCAATACAAATCACTGATTGGAAGGCTGGGCTACCTAACAACAACAAGACCAGACATATCTTTTGTTGTTCAGCAATTATGCCAATTTCAAGCTCAACCAAAGATCTCACATGTGAAAGCGGCACATAGAATACTCAGATACTTAAAGGGCTCCCCAGGTCAAGGTCTGTTCTTTTCATCAACCACAGATTTCAGCCTTATAGGCTATAGTGATTCAGACTGGGGGGCTTGCCCTGACACAAGGAGATCAATCACGGGCTATTGCACATTTCTAGGTAGTTCACTGATTACCTGGAAGGCGAAGAAGCAGGCAATAGTCTCAAAGTCCTCTCCGGAGGCAGAGTACAGATCCTTAGCACAAATGTCATGTGAAATTCAGTGGGTTACCCAGGTGCTGAAGGATTTGAGAGTGAATTACAAAGGGCCAACAATTGCATTCTGCGACAACAAATCGGCAATTCATATGGCGGAAAACCCACTGTTTCACGAAAGGACGAAACACATAGAAATCGATTGCCACATCATTAGAGAAAGGGTGAAGTCAAGATTGATTGAATTGAAATACGTTTGTACTGACCGAAATTTGGCAGATGTGTTCACGAAGGGACTCAGCGCGCACCGCTTCAAATGGATCGTCTTCAAGCTGGGAGTATATGACATATACTCGCCAGCTTGTGGGGGGCTGTCAAGCTCCATGAGCAGAGGAGAAGAAAAGGAAGAAGATGAAGAAGACGAAGAAGAGTCCAGTAACAAGCAACGGTCGACTGAGCAAGGAGGGAAAGGTCGAAGACAAAAAGGGAAAGAGTTGCTGAATACAAACGATGACATTTAGTACATACATGTATATAATAGTTTATTTATTCTTTCATTAGCTGTAACTAGTTGTAGGATGCCACTTGTCTCGTTTTAATTGGGCAAGTTGGTTATAGTTAGTTTGTCCTGTAGCATTGCCTACTCTATACATAACCTGCCGCAAGGCTGCAATGGAAAGCAGAAAGCATTCCACACAAATCACTCTTTCATCAATTATTCTTAAATAAACAACCATGAGAACAAGGGCAATCTTAAATAAGAAAATGTTTGGAAACACTCGACATTACACACATTAAAGTTTATATGTTTCATAAACATTTCATGATATTTATTCTTTCCCTAAGGTTAATAAACAACCATGAGAACAAGGGCTTGGCCTAGTGGTTATACCACTAGCCTAGAACTTGGAGGTCCCAGATTCGAAACCCTTAAGTAGTACCTTAATAACAACCAAATAAAATCTATATCTATAAATTGAAAACTTAATGAGTAACCAGTAGTCGTTGATGATCTTCCAGTAGGTTCATTTCTTTTTCTCAAATAACTTTTAATTTGGTTGTTTAATTTGTAAAAACGGTTTAGAAAAGTTTAGTGGTCGATTGAAAGATAATGAATTAAGCGAGGAGTAGCAAGGTGAGAGCCACTTTCATGATGTTTTGCAGGAGCGGTTAGAAATTGTTGGTGGGGATATGGTTAGAAATTGTTGTAGAAATCAGGTGTTTCGCCTCTTCTCTCATTCTTTCTTGCTTTACCAAAATGTAAAACTTGCACAATTTTTTAATTTTCCTATCTACTAATTAGTTGTCCCCAGGACCGGGCCATGATATTTGGAGGACCTCATAGAAAATTTAAAATGTGTACCTAAATTTTTTTTCGTAATTTTATTAAAACTAAAAATATTAAATAATAATAAAAATACATAAGTTAATAAAGTGATTACAAAAGGAATAAAATCATTTAGTATTATATGAAATAAAATACACTATTAGCTCTTCCATCTTTGCACCATCCAAATAATTATTCTCAATTGCTAACATAGCTAACTTGTTAAACCTCTCTTATGTTATTGTACGACGTATATAAGACTTCAATTTCAAAAAGTTTATTCTTGTTGTAGCAACATTCACATGAATAGTTAGTAAGTCAATGCGAATTATTATTTATTTAGTTATTTTTTCCTTTGTACTATTGTTGGTTGCACCGAGCTATTTTGGTTAACGTTTCATAAATCAATGTGAAGGATTTAATTAATTAAGCACTATTGTCTTGGTAGTACAAGCAGATTAATTGACGAAATTGAATTTTTTTCCACCTTGGAAAGCTGAAATGAAAAAAGTTAAACAAAAAATTTAATAATGATAATAATGAGGCATCATCAATTACCTCTGTTGTGCTATTTAGCAAAAACACGACAAAGAATAAGTTATGTTATATGGTTTGAAAACATTTTAATAAAAAAACAAGTATTCGTATCATGTGATTCGTTCATTCCCTTAACCTTCGAAATTAAATTTTTTATTATTGTTTTAGACCCATAATCAAAACCGAATTCATAATTTTTCTATTTTTTTAAATTTATAATCGAAATCTCATAATCCACAATAGCAATTAGTCATAAACATAGTGGAGGTCCGGAGGCCTCCAAAACAGGGATGTCAATGGGTCGGGTTTTTCCAAAACCAAACTCAAACCCATGGGTTTATCCGTAAAAAAACCCGAGGTAAACCCACTGGGTTTAGAAAACTAAAACCCAACCCGTTGGGTATCGGCGGGTTCAGAGGTACCCATGGGTTTATGTGGTAAAAAATTTACAATAACAAGTTCATATCAAAAGAAAATTCGAACATCAATTTTCTGATACAAATTATCCATATATAAAACACCATTCTAGAAAATTAAAAAAAAAATCACAATTAAACTAAATAAAAGCACACGGAATAAGTATAGTGAGAGTTAGATTGGGGGAAATTAAAATTAAAGTAGGATTTGAGGAGAATAGGGAAACGAAATAAATGTGAGCGGGTATCCATGGGTCGGGTATCACTAAACCCAAACCCAACCTGGTGAATAGTGTAGTGGTTTAAACCAAAAGTCGACCCGAAACCCGTCAATGCAGGTTTTTTGTGTTGTCCGGGTTGGATCAATTATGATACCCGTGGTTCGAGTTCTGTTGCTATCCCTACCCCAAATTTTGGAAGGCCTTGTGCCGGAGGCCGACTGGCACAACCTCGGGGCCGGCCATGGTCGTCCCCTTTACGCTTGAAAATGTTTGACTTGTTTTGAACTTTTAAAACTAATTAATGGTTGCACCACACCTAGGATAAATAGCGTAGCATTGCGAAGGATGTTGGTGTGTGCAGAAAAAATCACTTTTATTTTATTCTAGAATATAACATCCTTTTTTTATAAATGGACGCAATGTGTTTTTAACTTTATTCAATATTAATTAAGCGAGGTTCAGAAATCCCCTGAACCTCGTACATAATCCAGTTACATAGGGTAGGCTAGGAAATAAGAAATACATGTAAACCAAGAGGCATCTATTTTCCACTGCTAGCAATGTAATTTGCATACTTGTTCCCTTCTCTATATATATGGGAAACCACAATCAGCCAATCACAGCTAAGGAGATCCTGAAACTAGAAACGTCGAATCATCGCTCAGTGACACTACAGGAAAATGAGCTTTTGATCACGATAAATCCCGTGACTATATGACCAAATCCCGTAATTAATTGCATTAGTCACGGGTACTTTTCCGTGACAAGCGTGCCCGTAAAATAGCCCTTTGCTCACGGTTAAAATCCGTAACCAAGTAACAAACATAGGAAATTCCCCGTGTTTAGAAACAACAATAACTACGGTATACCCCATGACAAATTGGAATATTAACCATGATAAAATCCAGTTACTGTAATTAGCTAATAATCATGGAATACTATTACTATTGACCATTGATCCATCCAAGTAACATACCATAATTTCAATATCAAATTTGTGTACTCTAAAATAAAAAGGTAAAAAAACTATGATGTCATACTTAATAAAAAGATACAAATGCTAATGTAATTACAGTACACAATAAAAGACTAACAAAATTATGGTTAAGCACAAATCCAGAATAAACAAATTGAATTGGTTCTGTGTAATCTAAAAATTATATAAAATTTATTTCGTACTAATCCTTACCATCCTGGTGCTACCTTCATTTTTAACTCGAATTTTGAAAATTTTTACACAGAAGGAACAAGTTTATCGTCATCTATTATGATCGATAATTTTATGGAAACAAATCTATAGTATAAAATATGTCATCCTACACCTAACCTCTCTGGTATTAAGATAACAGATGACTCATCATATCCCCTCTTATTTATTCTATATATCTTCATTGTTGCACATATTGTTTACCGTTTCTTTCTATGCATGTTGAGTGCAGCCTTGTAATTGGTCAGAGTTATATTCCTTATCAGAACTGTATAAGTATTAGAGTTGTACAACCGACACAAATTACTACGAACCATGTGAAAGAATTATGTGAAGATTTCTGTGGAGCGGCACGGGAGACAACAACAAATCTTCTCTCATTAGATGGGAAGTTTGTAAAGCCTCCATCCGTAATCGCGGCCTTGGTCTCTTCGATCTTAAGTCATTCAACAAGGCCCTCCTTTCCAAATGGCTTTGGCAGTTTGCCTCTGAAAGAAGCAGCTGGTGGCACTCCCTCATTGAGATCAAGTACAAAATAAACATTCTTCCTGGGCCACGTCCGTTGTCAAGAATGGTTACGGCAAATCGCCCTGGGCAAGCATTTCCAAAGAATACAACACCTTCTGGAAATACGCTTTTATCGAGCCAGGCAGCGGGCATAACATATCCTTTTGGCATGATTGCTGGGCTCCCGCTGTGATTCTCGACAACATCTTCCCTCGCGTTGCAACTGCCTCTTCTTACCCAGAGGCGCTTATCGCTGACTTAGCCAATATCTCGGTTGATTCCCCTCATTGGGTTCTTAACTTCGATTTTAATCTTAGGGGTGCGGCTTTGAGAGAAAAGAACAACTTTATTTCCTATATTCAGTCCATTGACATTGAGGGTATGAATAACGTTTCCAGCCCTTGCAGACCAGTATGGGCGCCATGCTCGAAAGGTTATTTTTTTGTGTCTTTGCTTTACAGGTGCCTCAGAGACGAATCATTTCCGGGAGTTCCTTCCTTCCCCTGCACCGCTGTTTGGAAAAGCATAATCCCTTCCAAGATATGCTACTTCCTTTGGACCATGTTTCACAAAAAAAGTTCTGACTCTTGACAACATGAAGAAACGGGGTTGTATTTTGGCCAGTCGCTGTGAACTCTGCAAGCAAAAGGAAGAGACAATCGATCATTTGTTCATCGAGTGTGGATTTGCACAAGCTGTTTGGAATCTGCTCGACAGAAGATGTCGTTATATTCATCAACCTAGAGAAGGAATCATCGATACTATTCGGAACTGGCCTGCAGTTCATCCTGATGACGTTTCTGGTTGGTTCGTCGACTACAGCTTGCATGCTACTTGTTGGTGTCTATGGTTGGAGCGGAATCGTAGAATCTTTCAAGACTCAGCTGCCACCAGTTTGGCCATTGCTCGCAAGATCTCTCGCATGATGCTTGAATGGATCGTTGTTCATGGAAAAGCCAAAAAGCAGGACTGCTTATCTTGGATGGATAGGATTTTGTATAGGGAATGCTTATCTTGGACGGATAGGATTTTGTATAGTGGTTGTTGTCCTCTGCTGCTTTCTCGTTTGATTGGGGCCGCTCAGCTGCTTCTGCTGGTCGGTTGCTGGGAGATCACTCTCCTGCTTTCTTTGGGCTCTCCTGTCTCCCAAAGCTTTTTTCCTCTCCTTTTATTTTTCTGTTCTTTTGCTGAGTCGGCTATTCTCTGTTCCCTCAGATTCAGTTCTGAGGAACCTTGGACCCTTTTGTAAGTCTCCTTTCATTTAATATTATTATCATCCTCATCAAATATATATATATATATATATATATACTCAACTATTGATTAATCTAAAAAGAATAACAAAAGCCAATTATTAGGAAAATATTGAAACGAAGATTGTATTCAATTTGAAGAGTTCAAACTAGCTGACGAAGATCGGATGACGGAAATTAAAAAGAAAGAAGAAACGGGATTTTTCTAATTCATTTCACTTAGCGGAAGCAACAAAGTAATTTCTCTAGATATAGCATGACATAGATAACTGAAAAACGTTGACATGTTTCTCGCAAAATGAAAGTAGAGTGCGAAAGTAGAATAAAGCGAACAAAATTGTTATTCAGTAGCTTGGTAAGACAGTTTTATTCATTAGCCTTGAACTTAGGAGTCGTCTGGCGGTGGCGCAGGGTGCTTTTTCTTGGTTGGAGGTGGTGGGCTGTCGTCACCGCCGCTGCCGCCGCCACAGTTGCCGAATTGTGGTTGACATCCACGGCCACAATATCTGTCATCATCACCACAGTAACCGTACTTGCTACAGCAAAGGTTATCTTCGCACGATCCGCTTTCGCCGCCGCAGCTGCCCTCGTCATCGACGGCATGCTCGATCCTCGCAGTGTCATTGAAACTGAATGGAGAACTGCGAAACGTGAAAGAGGTGGCGGACTCGCCAAATTTGCGAGCATTTGCTCTGACTGCATAGCTCGTCGCCAATAATATTGTCACCATTAGCAACGATAGAGCCGATGCCGTTGGCTGATGCATTTTTTCTCAGCGTGATTATTGGGGTTTGAACTGTTTGAGTTATGGCAATAACGGGAGAGCATGACATGTATATATATACATGCACGTGGTTCAAAGAAGAGGGCAACTCTGCATTAGGGTTTTATTCTTTCCATCGCCGCCCCGACTCTTCCAGCTGTCGGTATTATTGTTATTATTATTATTATCTTTTTGTTAACGACAATCCAAATCTATTTATTTGATAAAAGAATTTCATTGGCATTGTTTTTGTCATGTCTTTCGGTCTCCCAGGACTCAAATGGCAATTGTCAGCTACCATTCTCTAGGACCGTATCATACTCAATACTATCCATATCCGCCGCTTGAACGATAAAAAAACAAACAGTAGAAATGGTTCTTGATATGTCTTCCGGACTCCCATGACTCAATGGCACTTGTCGCCACGCATTCTCTAGGACCGTAACGTACGCTAATTGAAATCTTAAATCTGTAATGGTTCTGTGGAAATCCTTTCTCTTGTTTTCTTTACAGGAGTTACGGCTCTTGTACCTTCCTTTCTTTGTTGTTGTATTGGTAGGATGGATAACTCTTAACTATATTGTTATAAACGCGCTGCTACGGATCGGGAAATCGTCGGAATCGATAGAGTAAGAATACGAAAACGAGAATCGAAAACACGACACACGATTTACGTGGTTCAGTAACACGATGTGTGTAAGCTACGTTTACGGGCGAGAGAGAGCCAATTTCACTATATCGAGGAGATTACAGATTACAGAGGAGTATGAGAAGTATTTATAGTACTTCTCCATGTGGGTCTAAACCTAATCCAATCTGGCAAAGGAAACGGTTACAGACCAGGCCCAGAACCCGAACCCAAATAACATTGAGCCCAAACGGTCTAAACCTAACAGCGAGACCCACGATTACCAGTCGTAGCGGCTGATAGTCCGATTCAAGTCACATAAACAAATCTCCACCTTGACTTGAATCCTCTTCCTCTGGAATCTCTGACGTACTCTGCTCCTTCAATCTCTCTCTCGCCATCAATGCCCCGCAGGGCGGAGTCACCCACTCAAGACATTCAGCAAGTCCAAGCAGTGTTGGAACTTGCCATGTGGAACCGGCTTCGTGAACATATCAGCAGGATTATCCGCGGTGCCAACCTTCTTCACCTTAATCCTCTTCTCTGTCCTCGAGAAATGATACCTCACGTCGATGTGCTTAGTCCTCTCATGGTGGACTTGTCCTTGGCCAAGCATACTGCACTCAAACTGTCGCAACACACCACTGCCTGATCATGATGTAGACCCAGATCACCAACCAGTCCCTTCAACCATTTTCCCTCCTTAGCAGCTTCTGTCAACGCCATATACTCTGCCTCAGTAGTAGATAATGTCACCGCCGACTGCAAAGTTGCCTTCCAGCTCACTACAGAACTCCCAAGAGTGAATACATAACCGGTCATCAATCTCCTCGTGTCAACATCTCCAGCATAGTCCGAGTCAGAATACCCAGACACCAAGCACTCTGTATCACTTCCGAAGCTAATCCCCACATCAGGTGTACCCTTAAGGTACCGGAAGATCCTCTTCACAGCCTGCCAATGCTCCTTCCCAGGTTGTATCATAAACATGCTGACAACACTAACATCATGTGCAAGATCAGGTCTAGTGCATACCATAGCGTACATCAAGCTACCTACTGCACTAGCATATGGGACTCTCGACATGTACTCCTTCTCAGCCTCTGACTGTGGTGCATAAGCTGAGGATAGATGAACATTTGAAGCACTGGGAGTATTTAAGGGCTTTGCTAAAGACATGCCAAACCTCGACAGTATCTTCTGGATGTAGCTCTTCTGTGACAAGAAAAGCTTCTTCTTCGACCTGTCCCTGTAAATCTCCATACCCAAGATCTTCTGAGCAGCTCCCAAATCCTTCATCTCAAACTCAGCACTGAGAAGCCCCTTTAACTTCTGGATATCAGACTTCGACCTCGCAGCTATGAGCATATCATCCACATACAGAACAAGATCGATCATCGAACCATCCTCCACCTTGTTGTGATACACACAACAATCATATGGACTTCTGCTATAGCCCAGCTCAAGCATGTAACTGTCAAATCTCTTGTACCACTGCCTCGGAGACTGCTTAAGTCCATACAAGGACTTCTTCAGCTTACAAACATAGTCTTCTTTTCCCGGAACCTCGAATCCTTCTGGCTGAGTCATGTAAATTTCTTTCTCCAACTCTCCATGTAGGAAAGTTGTCTTCACGTCTAGCTGCTCGAGCTCCAAGTCATAATGTGCCACTATTGCTAGTAGCACTCTGATCGAAGTATGTCTGACCACTGGTGAGAAAATCTCATTGTAGTCAACTCCTTCCCTCTGCGAGAAGCCTCGTGCAACCACCCGAGCTTTAAATTTCATGCCCTCTTTAGAAGTGATTCCTTCCTTCTTCTTTTAGATCCACTTGTTTGTAACAATCTTCCTTCCCTATGGTCGTTTGACTAGCTCCCAAGTCTGATTCCTATCATGGGATTCCATCTCATCTTCCATTGCGGCAAGCCACTGATCAGCTTCACCACCCGAAACTGCTTCTCTATAGGACTGTGGCTCTCCTGCATCCACTTCTTCAGCAACCTGAAATGAATACGCCACCATGTCCTCGAAGCCATACCTCTGTGGAGGTACTCCTGCAGTCGCTCTCTTCGGTCTACCGGAAGCAATAGACTGTTGAGCTCGTGCACTGGACTCTGAAGTTTCTGGCTCTGCAGAGACATCCTCATCATGTTGATCTTCTCCACCTTGATGCTCAAACTCACTCTCATTGAGAGTTTGCAGCTCCACCTGCTTATCAACATTCCTGCTACCTTCAACAACAGTAACCTTCAACATGGGGTTAAACATAGACTTCTCATCAAATATCACATTTCCTGAGTATAACTCGATGCTCAGAAGGTGACCAGACTCGAAATCCCTTAACTCCATCTCCGTAACCCACAAATACACCCTTCTTTGCCCTTGGGTTCAGTTTACCCTCATCCACATGATAATAAACAAGACACCCAAAAACTTTCAGTGAAGAGTAATCAGCAGGCTTAACATACCACACCTCATAAGGAGTCTTCAACTCAATACCTGTGTGAGGTCCACGGTTGATCAGGAAGCACGGCATGTTCACTGCTTCTGCCCAGAATCTTCTCTCTAGTCCAGCATTAGAGAGCATGCACCGTGCTCTCTCCAACAATGTCTGGTTCATCCTTTCTGCAACGCCATTCTGCTGGGGTGTATCTCTCAAAGTCCGATGACGGGCAATCCCTCCACCAATGTCTTCCACTGCTTGAACTTCGTGAAAGCCTCACTTTTCTGCTTCATCATGAAATCCAAGTAAATCTCGAATAATGATCAATAATAGACAGAAAATACCTGCTGCCTCCAATGGATTCAACTCGTGAAGGACCCAAACAGTCAAAGTGGAGGTAATCCAGTATCCCCTTCGTTCGGTGGATACCCTTCTTGGGAAACTTGCAGCGATGTAGCTTCCCAAACACACAATGCTCGCAGAATTCCAAATTCTGCATCTTGTGCCCGCAAAGAAGATCCCTCTTCGACAGAACTTGCATCCCCCGTTCACTCATATGCCCCAATCTCATGTGCCAGAGAGTGGTCATATGTTCCTGATGAACCTGAGATGATGCAACTGTAGCAGAACCAGACAACACAGACCCTTGTAATGCATACAAGGTCCCACGCTTCACACCTTTCAGCACCTTCCTTGAACCTTTGCAGACATACACAACTCCACCTTTTCCTTTGAAACTGAAACCCTTGCTGTCGAGTAGACTCAAGGAGATCAGGTTCTTTGTCATTCGTGGAACATGTCTGACATCATTCACGGTACAGAACGAACCATCATGTGTCCGAACCTTTATGGACCCGATTCCAACAACCTTGCAAACAGCTCCATTTGCCATGACCACGTTACCACCATCTATCTGCTCGTAGGTTGTGAAGCAATCCCTGTTCGGAGACATATGGTATGAGGCTGCAGTATCCAGAAACCACACATCCTCACGATGTGCCTTCTCATCTACAGCCAAGGCGAGATCGTCTTTAGAACTGTTGTCCACTTCTGCCACGGCAACTGAACCTTGTTTCTTCTGTTGCCCTCTTCTCTTGGGACAATTGTACTTCCAATGCCCCACTTCCTTACAGTTGTGACAAGCATCACCTGGCTGTGGACCGGGACCCTTGGAATTCTTATTCGAATTCCCTTTACCAGATTTCTTCTTTCCCTTTCCACCTGTAACGGCCAAACCCGATGTCTCACCACCTGTACCAGATCCAGACGCCTTATGCCTGATCTCTCTCGTATGAAGAGCAGACCTGACATCCTCCAACGACACACTTTCTTTTCCAGCAATAAAAGAATCAACAAAATTCTCATATGAACTCGGCAAAGAAACCAGCAGGATTAGGGCAGCATCCTCGTCATCAACTTGAACATCTATATTACGCAGATCCAGCAAAATAGAGTTAAGCTGTTCGAGATGTTCCCTCAAAGGCGTACCTTCTTGCATCTTCAAGCTGAACAACCGTTGCTTGAGATGCAGCTTGTTGGTTAGAGACTTAGTCATGTACAGACTCTCTAGTTTCAACCACAAGCCCGCGACAGTCTTCTCAGCAGCCACTTCAATGATGACGTCATCAGACAATGATAGCATGATGGTCGAGTGGGCCTTCTCCTCCAGGGTATTTCACTCATCGTCATCGACCGCTGCCTTCTTCTGTTTCGCAGACAGCGGCCCCCACAGCCCTTGCTGTTTTAATAAAGCCTGCATCTTGATCTGCCATATTGCGAAGCTGTTCTTCCCCGTGAACTTTTCGATCTTCATGTTCACCGACGTCATTCTTCTGAATCGAAAACCCTAACCTGATTTCCAGCCGCGGCTCTGATACCACTTGTTATAAACGCGCTGCTACAGATCGGGAAATCGCCGAAATCGACAAAGCAAGAATACGATCGAAAACACGACACACGATTTACGTGGTTCACTAA